GGGCGGGGTGGGGAGGGAGGGGAAAAAATGAGGAGTTGATACCAAGGGCCCAAGTAGAAGGCAAATGTTTTGAGAATAACGATGGCAACAAATATACCAATGTGCTTGACACAATGGATAGATGTATGGATTGTGGTAAGAGTTGTATGCACCCCCAATAAGATGATTGAAAAGAAAAAAAAGAATGGGGAATTTGAAGTTCTGGGGTAGTAATATAAATTATTCTTTCAAAAGTTTTTATTTCAAATGAAAAGGGAGAGATAGGGAAGCCCCCACCTCCCCACCCCATCACCACCCAACCCCCAGTAGATAGAGAGTAATTCAGAGTCTTGAGACGATTTCATCTGGGTAGGAAAGACATTGCATGTTTCATAATAGGTTAAGAAAAACACGCTCTTTCATCTAAGAGAGATGAAAATGAGAAATGGGAATAATTGATAGAAAAGAGGCTAGATGGGTCAGGGTCCCAAAGTACAAGGAAAGTCAGGACTTAAAAGGCACCACATCCTGCATCTGGAGGAAGTAGGAAACCAACAAAATGTAAAAGGATACGAGATGGATCAGGTAGGAATTAGGGAGTTTCACTCCTCAATGACTTCACTTTCTTGATAAAGTAGGTGACATCTGGTGTCCTGGGATGCGGATGTGTTAGTCTGGGTTGACTAGAGCAACAAATCCAGAGGCACTCAAATATGTGTATAAGAACGAGCTTTATGTAAAGAGTAATTATACATTAAGAAAGCATCCCAGCCTAGTCCAGATCAAGTCCATAAGTCTGATATTAGCCCATATGTCCAATACTAATCTATAAAGTCCTCTTCAGACTCATTAAACACATGCAATGACACCGAATGCAGGAAGATCACAGGACGGTGGGTGGGAAGTCTTGTGGATCCAGTGGAAGTGGAGGCATCTCAGTGCTGGCAGGGGGCTCCATGTGGTTCCTCCAGCTCAGGGCACTAGCGTAGCTCCATGCGTCTTGTCAGCTACAATGTCTCCAATGGTGTGAGCCTGTCTCCTGCCTCCAGTGAGCTATTTATCTCCTTAGCACCTCCAAATGAGGTCATCAAGCTGCGACCTGATTGACAGGCTAATCACCCCTTCACTCTTAATCCTCTCAAAATGACAACAGATTATATAATTACCGCAGTGGGGGTACAAGTTTAAGGTGTTTGGTAAGGGCTTGAGAGGCATGATGACCTTCTAGAATGGATATAAAAGAGGGGCATAGCTAAGGAAAGGCCTGAGGCCTGACATGTGGCCCTGAGAGTGAAGCTAGAGTTAAGTTTAACCCAACAGCCCTTGTCCATCCAGCACCAAAAACCAAACTCCCAGCCATCAAGTTGATCCCAACTCAGTGTGACCCTGTAGAGCCGGTAGAACTGCCCCAGTGGGGCTATGCATAATGGTTTAGATAACAGATAGACAGATGATCTAGATTTAGATAACAGAAGGACAGGCGAGTTTAAACTAGATGGAGGTGGTGGTGCTGGGAGTCTGGTGACCACAGAGCAGAGACGATGCGAGCCAAAGAGTGGAAACACTACCTTCCGCCTTCGTTCTCGCCATTCTGCCCCTGCCTGAATGATTCTACTTGCGACAGCAGCCATTACTGATAGAAAGCCAAAATGAAACAAACGGAAGGAGAGCACATTATTTCACAGTTCCTATAACACTTTCCTTAAAAGACTCGAACCATCTAAATCATCACCCCAAAAGCTTTTTAAAATTCTAAGGCTAAGAACAAAATTATGGTTAAATGTTTAATTAATGTTTATTATAGCTAACATATTAGTTTTAGAAAGGTCAAATTTATGACACAATGAAGTAATATTTTTAACATTCTGCAAGCCTGCTTTATAGCACATTGGGGCTCACAGTATAATAAATATCTTCTATTATTTCGCAGGACTCTGTAAGCGAAGCTGCGTAGGGCTGGGAGAATATTGAATTTCAAGTTGAATGAGCTGGCATGAACCTTAGGCAAGTCACTTCATCTTTCAAGACTTCAGTTTTCAGACTGGTAAAATGAAGGATAGGGATAAATCTCCAAATTCCCTTCTATGTAAAAAAAATTATGAGTGTAATTTTCCATTTGAAGTCGCTGGAAAATTTATAAGAAACACTGGCATGCTGCTCACTCACAGGTCAGCAGTTCATGTCCACCAGCTGCTCTCGGACAGGAAGAAATGGCAGTCTGCTCCTGTGAAGATGAAAGCCTTCCAAACCCCTTGGGGCAAGGCTGCTTGGTCCTACAGGTTTGCTATCAGTTGGACTAGCCTTGATAGCAATGTTTTGTTTTGTTTACAGTTTATAGAATTGATAGCTGTTACTCCTTTTCTTTGATGACATATTTACGTTTCAGTTATATTTATTAGTCCTCAGCCCTTGATCAGGAAGAAGAACTCTAATGATAACAATGTCACGATGCACAGTAGAACCCACTTTATCACCATCCACTTTATGTTATAATTTATCCCCTCTCTGCCTGCATTTGCCCTTTGGAAGTTTTATCTGAGACATTTAGTCTCTGTCTGGTGGCCATGTCTTTCTAGTGAAACTCTACACTGTATTGTGTACTGGAACCAAGCCCTCATCTCAGTGGGAGACTCTCCTGCAGTCTCCACACACCACAACTTAGATTTGTCATTGAGGATGATATATCAGAAGACTCAGATCAATAATATGGGTATTCCAATGCATGAGATATAGAGGCTGGCCACCCGGTGGAGTATGATGAATACACTGAACAGCAAGGTGTAGGGGGAAGAATCAAAGCTCTTTGATTGAAGCTTTCCCCCCAAAGTTATTTTTATCTCCCACTCAGATGTTTCGCCTGTCATTAGATGAGAACTCAGCAGAATCCATAGCTCATTCCTATGTTGATAGTCCCGTGATCGTTTTAAGTCCCAAAATATATCCTTTGAAAATGACCCCATATCACTAACAAAAAATGTCGCGAATAGGGAACATACAAGATTGATAAACAGGGTTTCATTTGGGAACTCCCAGCTTCCATTTGAGATGCAGAACACTGGAATGCATATTACTCCCACTAGAAGCACAAGAAAAAGTCGAATATCCTACCAAATCATAACTTTCTTGAACACACCAGAGAGCACAGATCACAGGGCAACAAACTAGGCTGAAGCTTAAGGAAATTCTGTTGCCTCCAAAGAGAAATGGAATGTGACCGCAAGCTTACCTGAGACAAAGACAAGTACCAAACGGCAATGAGATACACCTGTGCACCCATTAGGATGGCCGTAATGTTTGTTTAATGGAAAAAAAAACAAGTGCAGGCAAGATTGAAGAGAAATGAGAGCCACCATTGTGGAGGACGGTTCCTGAAAAAGGTGACAGGAGAACCACCATATATCTCAACCATCACAAGCTCAGGTAATACTTAGAAGTGACGGCAAGAACATAGACAGAGGACACACACACACAACCCCACTGTCATGAGTTAATCCTGACTCACAGTAATCCTACAGACAGAGTAGAACTGCTCGTGTGGGTTTCACAGATGGTAAATCTTTAAGGGAGCAGAAAATCTCATCTCTGTCCCACAAGGGAATACTCTCCCTGCCAGCGAGTTGTTGCCAATTCATAGCGACCCCACAGGACAGGGAGGAGCTGCCCCTGTGCGTTTCCGAGACTGTAAATCTTTACGGGAGTAGAAAGCCCTACTTTCTACTGCCCCACTCTTCTGCAGAGTGGCTGGTAGTTTGGAACTGTTGACTTTGCAGTGAGCAGCCCATCACGTAACCAAAGAGCTACAATAGAGCTCTACACAACCACAAATAGCAACGAATCCCCAAGGCAGGCCACAACACGAGTGAAACCTGAAAGCATCAAGCTAAGTGAACTAAGTTAATTACAAAAGGGCAAATGTTGTGTTCTTGCTTTTAGGAAAATAAGCAAATACATAGAAACTCAAGATCACCACTTGTCACCGTAAGTGGGAGGGAAGGGGCAAGAAAGAGGTCTTGCTTCATAGTGGAATGATTTGGAAAAGGACAGTGAGAATGGCCGTGCAGCTTGAAGCATGCAATCAGTGTAATCTAATTGTGCATGTAGAAATTGTTGCGATAGTGTATGTTTATTCTGTATATTTCTACCACAATATATGTCATTTTAAAAGAAACAACGTTTTGTTTTTACAAACTGCAGAAGGGGCATTTTCCCTCGAGTGTTTGGGAACAGACACTTGTTTCTATAAGCTATTACCGGTCATTGCTATCATGTAATGTCGCCAGGATATTTTCGTCTGTCAAGAAACAACGTTTCTTGTGTGACCATTAGCCTTTTGCTATATCACTAAAGATAAATCAAAATTTTTGCACTTTGCTGTATGTATGCTGACCCCTTGCTAAGACTCCTAGGGTAGCCAATGACATCAGGTGTCCCAGGTGCCACACAGCAGTGACAGGTCCAGAAACACAGGTGCTTTCTAACAACTAACACCAACTCTTGCTTCCCTTTCTACCACAGAGGCAGCTCAGACACCAGGGCACTATCATCACCGCTCCAGCAGTTAATCTTCAAGTCAGACACAGCTCACCAATCTCTCCCAAACAGACATCTTCACAAGTCCTCTCCCCATTTCATAAGTTTCATATCTTGATCTGTGTATGAGACCCAAGAGTCTGTGCACCAGCACTGGGCATTTCCTTTCCAGCGAGTCTCCTGTGATTTGGTCTGGCACCTCACTTCTGGGTGTAGCGTCCATTATTGGCATTGAATATTTCAACCAAATCTTCTATGTAAGCATTCCATTTTAGTTGCTATGGATCAAACCATGTGCCATTGTTAATGGTTGACTATTTTTTACCTAAACTAATTGCAATTTCATAAGACACCAACTAGCATTTTCTTTTATTTGGCGTAAGTGTTTTAGAGCAACTGAACTTAAAATTGGACCTGTGGAAGAAAGGGAAAAGTGGGTTCTTAAATGAACACTTGGGGAAATAATGAAACACCTTGAGGGGTGCCCTTACCTTGGCTTTCAGATCAGCACACAGCTCCTGCTGCTTTTTCCTGTCTTGAGCCACAGTGCTCTCCACTTCGTGAGTTACACAGGCCTCGGCGAGCGCCATCACTGCCTTCTGCATAAAATCTCTCCGGTTCGTATTCCAATTTGATAGCAAAATATTTCGCTGCTCGCTAACAAAGCGATAGTGCTCACAATGTTTTTCATGTTCTACCTGAAAAAATAACAGAGAGTACACATTTGTCATTAGAAAGTGTGCCTGTCATCCTGAAATTGTTATTTTAAACGGAACAGAATAAATCCTAATGGTTTGGAGAAATTAGAAACAAATATTTATACTCAATACAGGAACCAGGAGCCAGGAACCAGTTCCAGGGTTCTGAGCCTAGGTCTAAATGGTGACAAGTGATTAAATGGTGACAGTTTCCTCCCTGCAGAGTCACCTTAGAGGCCTCTTTGTCAACATTCACATCACAACAGAAAATGGTTCTATGAACAGAAAGCAGTATTTTCCCTACAGGCAATTTGAAAGATAGCTCATCCTGAAATTGGTTTTAGTATTGTAACGTTTACTTTGAGTGCTGGGGTGTTTAGCCTTGAGGTGATCATAGCAATGACCACTAGCCCTTCCACCCCATAATCCCGAGGGACATGCCACTCTCCCATTGGCAGCAATAGCTCCTTTTGGTAGCGGTTTTTCAACCAGATGACATATCGGAGTGTAGGCTGAAAAATAGGAACAGGCACAGCCTGAAAAGTCTGAAAAATCTCCAAAGGTGATTGAGAAATGCACCACCACTGATAGAGCTGTGTCCCCGGAAGTTGACAGTCACTGATCTAAATAACTCTTCACTTTGCCAATATAGACTCAGCTTCAGACTCTGATGCACCATGTATCCACTAAATGCTGTGGAACAAGAAGCTAGCAAACAGGACAAGGAAGGTCTTTCCTACCTACACTACTTTATTATGAGGGGCTTGTGCCAGTTGGATTTTGTGTCAATTTGGCTGGGCCAGTATGCCAAGTGGTTTGGCGGTGGTCAGTTGGTATTCCTCTAAAGCCTGACCTAACACAGTGCCATGCCCTCCTCAGTGAGTACTGCCATGAGCAGCCAATCCGTTGTGAGATTAGGGTGGGATGCAACACTTTTATTCAAATCATCACACTCATGAGATTAATGAAAAGGAAGTCTCTTCAGAGGTGGTGGGACCTAGTTCCAATATAAACTGCTTGTTCTTTGGTGGGTCTGAATTCAATCCTACATCTGACTTATTGACAACTATTCTTTGGGTGTGAGCCAACAGCCTGCCATATTGTCTGCTGATAGCTTGTGAGTCAGTGGCCTGCAATCTGACCAGCCAACCTAGGATTCATTTGCCCCTGCAGTTACCAACCTGTCGCTTCCAGTTGATCTTCAGCTCATCAGCCCTCAGCCTAACCTCCAGTCTAACATCTGACACACAGTCTTGGAAACGGTGTGGCTTGCAACTTGCCCACTTCAACAACTGCATAAACCACAAAAATTGCCTTATGGATACACATCTCTGGAAAGCCCAGTCTAAGCCAAGGCTTTCACAAGTTCATGGCAAATGGAATTAAAAGAAAATGTAATTTTCCATGAACTTGTTCCCCTCAGCAACACAAAACAAAACAAAAAATCACTGCCATGATGCTGATTCTGACTCATAGTGACTCTTTAGGACAGGGTAGACCTGTCCCTGTGCGTTTCCATGACTGTAACTCTTCACAGGAGCAGAAAGCCTCATCTTTCCCCTCTTATGATTTATTATATTCACATCCACATGGATTTTGGCTTCATTTAAAACAAATATTGGCTACGAAAATTTGTTCTGTAAACTCTTTAACTTTGACTCTAAATCCAAAATTATGCTAAATACCTGGCAAGCATTTAGAAAGAAGGTATAAGGAATGCTGAATTGCTGAGTAATCAATACAACATAAATGTAAAAATTGTTATCATGTTAACAGTAGAAAATCGAAAAATATAGGGGAAGAAATCAGGAGCTGATATCAAGGGCTCAAGTAAAAAGAAAATGCTTTGAAAACGATGATGGCACTTATGACAAAACTATAATAATTTATGAATTATGAAGGGTTCATGAGGGAGAGGGGAGTGGGGAGGGAGGGGGGAAATGAGTAACGGATATTAAGGGCTAAAGTAGAAGGCAAATGTTTTGAGAATGATGAGGGCAACAAGTGTACATATGTGCTTGACACAAGGGATGTATGTATGGATTGTGATAAGAATTGTACAAGCCCCCAATAAAATAATTTTAAAAAGAAATGATGATGGTAACATACGTACAAATGTGCTTGACACAATGGATGAATGTATGGCTTGTGAAAGGAGATATAAGAAACCGCAATAAAAGTATTTAATAGAAAAAGAAAAGAAAAATACATTAAGTTAAAAATGACAGCTGGTAACTGTTTTTGTTTGTTTTCAGTAAACTCAACAGGGAATTTTTAAGCTCTTATTTGATATTTGAAAACTTCATATTTGATAAATTAATCTAGAGTGACAATTTTATTATATTTGTTTATTATATAACAGGTATCTGCTATAAAGTGGGCAAATGAGTGTGGGTATCTGGGGGTATATGAGAGAGTAGCAGACAGAGCTGTGGTAAAGACATCTTTGCCTCCTAGGCAGAGAATGAGTAAAAGTTGCCAAAATCAGCCCGGGCCCCCCCTACCCCCCCCCACACACACACTTCAACATGAAGTGTATGTTCAAATTTGAGAAATGACTTGCACAGACTTGTAGCCTATAACTTTTTCATTGTTATAGCTCTAAGAAAATATAACTTTTAGAGCACCGTTTTAAAACATATGTTTTGTTGCCTGATAATAAATTGCTAAAGCAATTTAACTTGCCAAACTTCAGGGTATAGCACTCACCAGATCATGCCTAGATTTATGAGGAAAATATCGTTGTAACATATCCAGATACAGAGTCCTTCTGGCAAAGAGATCTCCAGGATACTGATCCAGAACAACCTGGTAAGTCCAGTGATCGTCTTCACTTAAGGGAAAGCTTCTGGAAGGAACAACCGTGGTATAATGTATTATTAAGCCATTCGGTAGCCTGAGGGATTTAAATTGCTTGAGCCATTTAAACTGCTAGCAAGCAATAACAACTCTGTTACACAACTCTGATGGCTGGTGTAGAAAAGATTATAAATGCTCATCTAATGGGTTCTTTAAAATGAATTTTTTTATTTTACTGGGTGTGGCATGGTGACATTTCAGGCCATCAGTTCTGCACTGAACTGCTCAGACCTGCCATCAACCCTCACCATTGTGCTCTATCCCATGCAGCCCTGACTTCTCTTCCCCCTCTCCGGGATCTCCTTCCTCTCCCCAAAGCCAATACCTGACAACCTTCCAGTCCATTGCTTCATCTTCCCACCCTTGCCCTTCTCCCCTTGACAACTTCCAAAGCCTGCTCCCATTGGTATGCAAGTTTTTACCTGGCTTGTTGTTGTTGTTTGCTTTTGGTTTTCGCCTTATAACAGTGGTCTCATCCAATATCTGTCTTTTTGTGATTAACTAAGTTCACTCAGCATCATGTTCTTCAGGCCCATCCACATCAAGACATGATGAGTGGTTTCCTCATTGGTTTGTAGTGATGCAGAGTATTCCCTTGTGTGTATGTACCAACATTTCCTTTTTTTTTTTTAATTTGACTCGATAAAGCAGTAAGTTCTTTTTTAAAAAAATCATTTTATTAGGGGATCATACAACTCCTATCACAATCCATACACACATCAACTGTGTAAAGCACATTTGTACATTCATTGCCCTCATCATTCTTAAAACATTTCCTCTCCACCCAAGCCCCCAGCATTAGGTCCTCATTTTTCCCC